GCTTGAAACAGGAAGCCCTCTCTGTCTCATCCACCTGGATTCTCCTGGGCATAACCCAGTCCCCAGCTTGTGATGGATCCTTCCTAAGGATGTATTGGATAAATTAATGAATAATGATTTCACTTTACCTGTCAAACCACTTTGGGAGTATTGAACTCCTTTCTGGGCACTGTTCGGTTTTATTTCATTTCGTATAACAAATCAGCAAGTACCTCTTCCAGAAAAATCAAAAAACACTAATGTTATCATTCAGAATTAACTAATTAAATGAACCGATGCATATGTGTATTAGGATACTGTCATGCATATTAGCATACTATTTTATATATGTGTATAAACAGCTGATTATAAACAGCTCTTTGTCTGAGTATATGACAAATATCTTTCCACATCCACATGGGTACTTCTGCTCCATCACTACGTGGTCGCTCAGACTCCTGTCTTCCCCATTGTGAAGGCAGAAGTGACAAAATCCTTCGCATTTTCTGAGTGTCTTGGGCAGACACTTTGGATGAATTCCACTTTTGCACTATTATAAACAATACTTCAGTTCATATTCTGATAGCTAAATCTTTGTGAATATTTTTCCCTATTCTATTAGGACATATTTTCATAAAGTGTAATGGCTGGATCAAGGGCTATTTAGGCTAATAGGTTGCCAGGTTCCCCTTGAGGAAGTTGGGACCAGGATCTCTTTCCACCACCTGCAGAAAGGCGACCTTTTCTCCTCAAGCCCTCTGCAGCAGGGACCCAGGATGAACTTGCCTGTCCAGCCTCATCTCTTTGGCACTTGGTACAGCCCCAGACACATGGCTGTTCACAGCTCACAGGGGCCTTTTTCCAAGGGTCTCCCTCACTGCTCACTGCGTAGTGTCTTCTTATTCCTCCTTCCAGCTCTTGTTTTCTGTAACACATCTCGAAATTAATTAAATCATGGTTTGTGTGGTTTTCAGCTGAGCCCGAGTGGGTCGGTTCCCTGTTGTGCCCTGGTGGCCAGCACAGTATGTCATAAGGGTAGGAAGAAGGGGCTCATGTCAGAAAGAACTGGGTTTACTGTGGCTCTGCCACTTTGCTCACCTGAGTCTTTGCTTTCTCAACTGAGACTTGGGAGGTATTTCGTTACCCGCCTCGCATGATTATGATGCAGATTCAATGAGATGCGGCACTTGATGGCCTGACACATGGCTCAGCACACAGTAAATGTGCAGCCGTTGTTACCTGGGGTGCAGTTAGAGGGTAATGAGTGCTTACTCTGTGCCAAACACTGCTCTAAGTGCTTCACTTCAGGAGGGGACAAACTGTGGCTCATGGGCCAACTGTGACTCACCACCTGTTTTCATACAGCCCAGGAGGTGAGAATGGTTTCACATTTTTAAATGGTTGAGAAAAAAATTGAAAGAATAATAATATTTTGTGATACATGAAAAAAAAAATGGAGATTTCACTGTCCATAAATAAAGTTTTATTGGAACAAGGCATGACTTCTTTTTTTAACCATGGTTGCTTTTATGCTATGATGACAGAAATGAGCAGCTGTGACACTGATCACACAGCCCATAATGCCCAAGTGTTTATTATTGGCCTCGTATTAGTCTGTTTCTCTTGCTTATAACAAAATACCTGGAAGTGGGTAATTTATAAGGAAACAAAATTCATTGCTTAGAGTTTCAGAGGCTGGGAAGTTCAAAGTCCAGGGAATACATCTGGTGAGGGTCTTGGTGGCGACAGTGACCCAGGGGTCTCACATGGCAGAAATGGTGGAGCAGAGAGAGACTAACCTCTCATGTGTTCTTCTTTTAAAGCCCTCAGAACCACGCCCCTGACCACCATTACTAATCAGTTCACTATGGCATTGTCCCACAATCTAATCACCTCTTCAAGGTATCGCATCTCAATTACCGTAATAGGATTTCCCACCCTCAACAGTTACAGTGGGGATCAAGCTACTTATACATAAAACTTGGGGGACACAATCCATATCAGACCCTTGACAGAAAGTTTGCTGACCCCTAGTTACATGTGCAAGCACATCTAGTTCTGCATAGTGCAAGCTATTATTATTGTCACCATCCCATTTTACATGTGGGGAAGTAAAGCACAGAGAGGTTAAGAAAGTGCCTGAAGTTACAAACAGCATGTAAGTGGGAGAGCCAAGGTTGGGTTCCCAGAGCTGGGCCTCTTCATCATTTGACCATAGGTCGGGTTATTGGTCTTTGCGGGTGAGGAATGTGAAGCGGGAAGAGGTGAAGTCACGCATTAATAACTTGTAAAATCAGCATTTAGGACCAGTTCTGTTGGCCCTCAGAGTTCTTGGCCTTTCTCTCATAAGGGGCTCTTTTCACCACCCCTCTTCTAGGATCACCTGCCAAACGCAGGATCCAACACACAGAGACAGCTGACGTGTCCTTACAAACACAGCCACTTGAGAGCGGGGAGATAATATGACAGGACTAGGTGTGGTTATGTGCTTTCTACTAAATACAAGCTTAAGAAGTGTTTGTGGAGTGAATGAATGAGTCTGATGAGTGGTTCCCGGACTCTAGGAGTTTAGATTCAGGAGACGAGGCAGGGATCCCTGGGAAAAGCAGCAAACCCAGAACCTTCTCACGGGAAGGAGACCTTCCCAGACACGAGTCGTGTTCCCCACATGGCATGATGTTCTTGGGCCACAATACCAAGCACTTCTTCAATTAAAGTTCCACTGAAGGAAAAACTGCTCTGTCTTCTCCACCCATCACAACTGTCTCTACTTTTGTTGATTCTGAATATTTTTTTAAAACAGCTTTGTTGAGATGTACTTCACATAGTCTACAGTCTACCAATCTTAGAACATTTTTATCACCTCAGAAAGAAAGTCTGTACCCTTTAGCTATCACCTCCCAATCTCCCTTCTACCCCAAGTCCTAGGAAACCATTAATCTACTCTGTCACTATGGCATCTCATATAGATGGAACCATACCATATGTGGTCTTTTGCGACGGACTCCTTTCACTTACCGTAACATTTTCAAGGTTCATCCACGTTGTAACATGTATCAATTCTCAGTTCCTTTTTCTGCCCCACAATATTCCATTGTGTGGATTTTGTTTGTTCATTCATCAGTCGATAGACCTCGGGTTGTTTCCATCCTTCAGCTGTTATGAATATGCTGCTCCGAAGGTTGATTTACAGGTCTCTCGGTGGATGTGTGTTTCCATGTGTTGGATACGTGTATGCCTAGGAGTGGAATTGCTGGGTCGTATGCTAACTGTATGGGTAAACTTCGGAGGAACTGCTGGACTGGTTTCCAAAGTTTGTACTCTGTTTTACATCCCCATGAGAAGCTGCCTGTTCCTGCTTATTATTCATGCTCATATATAAACATATAACATGATTTTATCTATATACATGTTTAGAACATGCAAAATTAATTGATGGTGCTAGAAATCAGTACATTTGTTGCCTCTGGGAGGAGGGCAAGAGAACTGGGAAAGGCACAAGGACACCTGCTGGGTGAGGGAAATGTTCTGTGTCTTGGTGGTTTGGTGTATTTGGGTAGAAGCCTTTGTCAAAACTCATCAAACTGTTTATTTAAAAATTGAGCATCTTATTGTATGTAAATTATGCCTAAACTAAAAAAAGAAAAAAAAATGAAAAAACATAGGTGGAGGAGAAAAAGAAAAATATATCTATTTTAATTATCTCATGACATGACTGGCTGCTCATCTAACCCACCTTCCTGAGGACACAGGGCTCGTGCCTGGCAGCCAAGGCCAAGTGTAAAAGGCTCTTAATTGATGTGATTAACTATATCTCAGTAGGGAGCCTCGTTAACACTGGGGGGGAGGAAAGGAGGCTATTTTTCACTCTCCCAACTAACAGATGCTTAGAAGGTCATGGTGGGGGAACGCGTTTGGAGGGCTGCTCCCTGTGGTGGGGGGATGGGAGTGTGGGCATCTGAGGCCCTCTGTATAGTAAAGCTTCATTTCCCTTTGGCATTAAGATTTGTTTTTTAAAAAAAACATTTTCTCTCAGTTGCTGCAAAACCTATTCTTCATTTTCATCTATGAGGAGGAGGAAACCAACTTGATTTATTTTAGTGTGTTTTCAAGGCTGCATCATCTAGCAGAACACAGCATTCAGCTAGAACTCTCTTCCTAAATGAATTAGTGGCAGATTCAGGCAACAACAGGAAACAAACAAAGCAAGAAGAAGTGAAAGGTTTTCTCTCTCTCCCTAGCATCTACAAAGAAATGTGTGGGTTGACATAGATCCACAGAAGATTAAGACTGGACAAACATCACTAATTATCCATATTTTAAAAAAAATCAATATTACACAATTTTTGATAAAATTACAAAAATTGTAATATTTTATTTGTAAGCTAAAAAAACTATTTGGTTAGAAAAAAGCATAGAGGGCCGAGCCCGTGGCGCAGTCGGGAGAGTGCGGCGCTGGGAGCGCAGTGACGCTCCTGCCGCGGGTTCGGATCCTATAAAGGAATGGCTGGTGCGCTCACTGGTTGAGCACGGTGTGGGCGACACCACACCCCCTTACCGGTCACGAAAAAGACAAAAAAAAAGAAAAAAAAGAAAAAAGCATAGAAATCTAAAAACACCATTATTGGGTGTTTAAGAGATCTATCACAACATGGTGACTATAACTTAACAGTATTGTCTTCTTGAAATATGCTTAATAAGTGTTGGTGAAATGAATAAATGAATTGAATGAATGAAAGATTAAAGTGTTCTGACCCCAGAAATGTTAACTATGTGAGGTAACGCATATGTTAGTTAGCTGGATTTAGTCATTCCACAGAGTGTATATATACTTCAAAACATCATGCTGCATGTACGTGGTAAATATGTACAATTTTATCTATCAATGAAAAAAAAAGTTAATCAAAACCTTTTTCGTGGATAAGTTGAAACCACTCACTGATGGAGCTAGTAGTTAACCTAAGATGAAACTAATCACAGCAAACATCTGGTGACAGCGCTATTTATATTCCTTCCTGCAGTACTGTCCCTGGCTTCAGTCCTCAAGCAACATGCCCAGTATGTGTTGGAAACGTTAACATTTCTTGCACATCACCCTGGTGAGTGCAGGCACAGATGGAGTATGAGTGTTTCCCGGAGCTGGAGGAGGACCCAGCGGTGGGTGAGTCATGCTTTTGCAAAGTATTTACCCTGGTGGAACACACGGGCGCGCGTGAGCAGAGATGCGTGTGCATACATGCAAAGCACGAGCCGAGCACTGTCACCCGTTTTCCCCCTTCTCTGCTCACCTTTGTGACCCTCCTTCTTCCTCTTAAATTGTCCCCCCAGCCCCCTTTTCTCAGCTCCTTTTTATGGCAGTGATTTTCAAACTTCACTTTGCAAATGATCATCTGGGAAACTTGCTAAAATGGAGATTCTGGACTCCCCCACCAGATTTTCTAATTCAGTGAGTCTGGGCTGGGGCCCAGCAAACGGCATTTTTAGCAGACGTCTTAGATAAGTCCTTTTGATCAGGTAGGTGCTATAAACAGAGTGCCTTGGACCTATCTCTACTTCAAGGACTCACAAATAAGTTTGAGAACTAATACATATAATTATTAGTTTAAAAATATGAAAAAACCCTGCCAAATGAAAACAGTTATATATATTTATAGAACTTGAAGTCAACTTGTCAGGTGCAGCTCAACTTCTGCAGTTACACAGGAATTATTTTTTAATATAGGCTAGGGGTACATTTGATGCATTTGATATGCTGTATGTGAGGCCAGCAAAAGCCTTGAAAAAGCCCTAGCCCCATGGGCCCTGCTCTGAGAAACATGGCTGTAGATGGTTTTTTGTTCCTAGTACTTTAGATCTGGAAAAGGACCCTTAGAACTGTTCTTCAGCACCTAGATTTTGCCATTAGGGAAATGGATGCCTAGAGGAGAATGACTTGCCTGAGGTCATACAGCAGGTTCCTGAAGAAGCCAGACTAGAAAGCTCAGCATTTACAGCTCATGTGCATGGGCACAAGTTAGCAAGGGCACGAGTGTGCAAGGGCTAGTTACATCCCCCTCCACTGTCCCTTCTCTACCTTTTTTTTTTTACTTTGGCTTCTCTCCTCTTTGGTCCCTGTGTCCTCAGCCCATACCAATCAAAAGCCCTGAAGGTAGTGAGGGGGTCTCAGGGTTGAACTGCTAACCAAAAGGCATTGCACATGATAAGGCTGGTCTTCAGCTTAAGTGCCTGCGGAAGAAGAAGTCTGAGTGACATCACTTCAAGCTGCAGCATGAAAAGCTGGCTGACTTCTCAGTGGCCAGAGTTCCGATTACGTGCTGGGCATTGTGCACACTGGTGCATGGCAGTGAATGAAGCTGATGATGCCCCTGCCCTCATGGGACTTAAGTATTCATTCATCCTCTCATTCAACAAATATCTGCTGAGCACCCTGCTATACACCCAGCAGTGCAAACAAGGAAGACGTGGAGCTTAGAACCAGATAGGCAATAAAAGACAACAGGTCCATAAACAATGAAGCCATTTCAGATAGTGCCAAGTACAGTGAAGAAAATAGAAGATAATGAGAATGGGAGTGGCTGGGTGCAGGGCATGCCATTCTAAAATAAATTCTTACTAGCTGAATGAATGAGTAGTCAATTCCATGTGACCTGAGAGGCAATGTTCTTAGGCCATTCATTTTTTCTGACTGTCCACCTTCCGGAGAGTAGGTTTGCACTTCCTTGTCGCTGTGACCAGTTCTGGCCAACAAGTAGTCAGCAGAAGCTGCATGTTATTTCTGACTTCACATTAGAATGATACCAAGAGACCCTCTAGAGGTCTCTTTTTCTCCTGCCCTGCTGCCTGGCCATGCTCTGTGGAGGGATTCCGCATTAGCCTGGTGTGGATGGTGCTAACACACTGAACACCATCTGTGGCTGACCCATGATGGACATGTAGCCTGAAGGAGCAATTAATCTTTGCTGTTTTAAGCCACTGAAATTTGGGGATACATGTTAGAGCAGCGTAACATCACTACTCCTGATTGATATAGCCTACAAGGCAAACAGGTTTGAACTGTCACCCTGGAACCCTGAGTGGGAAAGAATTCTGAAGTTCCATCTGCTCCAATGCAGTTCTCACAGATGGAACGTGACAGATCTAATACCACCTGCCTCCCTTCCTGCCTTGACGTTTGGAGGAATTTTCTAACTGAATTCTTTCTCTAGTCTCCCTTGGGGGCTGCCCCCTAGAACAGTCCCCCCACAATCGGCTCTGATCAACTGTACAGATTAATGCAGTCTTCACCCCTCTTTTCCAGCACAGACTTCTCTGCTGGCTTTCAAGGTCCTCAAAATTCTGGTCCTAATACATCTTCCCAGGACTCGCAGTTATTTCCTTTCTGTTCTAGCCTCAAGGGACTCCTCGCTGGCCTCTGAGCTCCAGGCCTTGAACACTAGATGCTACCCCTCCACCCCACCCCCACCCTGTGATCAACCTTCAAATTGGGCTCCCAGAGGACCTTCCTTTGCAGCCCCATAGTGGCCCTGCCTCCTGAAGGCAGGCCATGCAGTGCCCACACTCGGGTAACCTCTGACAGTCTCGCTCTGTAATCTTACTCTCCGTTCCTTCATGGCTCTCTAACATTTCGCAAGGTGAAGCCTTGCCTCCCTGGCCAGCTTCGACACTCAAGAAATGGCCTCGATTTTGCATTTCCTCACCAGTGTCTTGGTGATAACAGGCACTTGAGAAATAAGTTTTTAAAGAATTAGTTGGGGGCTGGCCGGTTAGCTCAGCTGGTTAGAGTGTGATGTTGTAACACCAAGGGTTCAAAGGTTCAGAGCCCCTTACTGGCCAGCCACCAAAAAAAAAAAAAAAAAAAAAAAAAAAAAAAAAAAAAAAAAAAAAAAAAAAACAGAAAAAAAAAACCAAACCAACAATGAAGCATCCATTGGATCGGCTATGTGGGGTAGGGAGTCATCTCAAGGCCACCTCTCCCTTTCTTTCATTGTCCCGCCCATTCTGCCTGTCCCATCCCCCAGGCCAGTCCTTCTTCCATTGCTGGCACAGGTCACATGTTTGTATCTGCTCCCTGAGATGGTTATCCTTCCAATCAGGAGGTAGCTATTGCAGCAGCCCAGCCAAACCCTCACTGTGGTGATGAGACCAGGCAGTGCGTCTGCACAGGGGGCTTCCCAGAAGAACTGATGTTTAAACTGGAACCAGAGGAAGAAAGGGAATTAGCTCGACAGAGCAGCCAGAGGGGTGCCTGGTGAGGTCCCAGCCTGTGTCAAGGCCTGAGGACTGGAGAGATGAAGCCAGGGAGAGCAGGAGCGACCAGTGACAGGGCTGCAGCAGTGACGTGAGGCCTCCCCACGTGGAGAAGGAACTTGACCTTACCTTTCTCCCTAAAAGATGCCCCGGAAGGGTCTAAAGGACAGGAGGCCCTCATTTTGTCATTCTCTTCTTTTCTTTCCTGATACCTCTCTTATTTTTCTGTTCTCTAACTCACATTCTTTTTGTTTTTGTTTTTTATCTTTTTGAAAATCAACATAATCATATCTGTAAAAAAAATATAAAGAATGCTCAATTCCCAGAGCCATAATTGCCCCCAACTACAAAGCTAGTCTTCATTTCCATGTCATCCCTCACTCATGTTCCTCAAGGCTGTGCCACATTTTATATAGACATGTCCTCAATGGACATGAGATTTTTTTAATTGTAGCTTTTCATGCAAACACTCCCATTTGTTATTTTTCAGTTTTTCCTTCTTTCCCAGGTGGCTTTAGGCTGCCACTCCCCACCTCCCCAACTTTCTCACCCCCCACCCCCCTCCTCAGGCCTGCCTATTAGAGACACATCTCTTTATAGGCAGATAGAGCTCATAGGAGGAAAACACGGTGACAGTGAATCCAGGAGTCACAGAAGTGCTTACCAGAAGAGGGCAACTGTGGAGTCTCACTCCCAGCAAGTTACCAAAAATTATAATAATAGGTCTTGGAGTTTATTCTAAGAATTTGTATGAGCTGGCGTATACCTCCATTGCCAGTGGTGGCATAAATTGGTGTTTTGGAACAACAATATGTGAGGAGGTATCAAAGCCTCAGTTCGACCTTGTATCCCTATTCGGAAAGTTTATTTCCGAGACACATTCCAGAAGAAGAAAAGGCTATGTGCAGGAAGGAGCTTTCTGCAGCTGAATGTATTTGGGGGCAGCATGAGAAACAAAATGGGCCCTAAGGATTCTGGTACTTCTGCACCTTGGAATCTCCCCGCAGAGGGGACATCGTGAAGAAGAGGAAGACCCTAAGGAGAGAGGTGACAATCTGTGATACGACAATCACAGAAGGCCTTGTGTCTTTCCTGGGATTACTGAATACCTGTATACATAGGGAGAGGTGAGCTCATCCTTGGAAAAATGAAGATTTTACCTACTGGGGTAACAGGAGTTTGACAGTTTCTTCTTTTCTTTTCTGCTTATTTTTTCTCTTTTTTGTTACCTGCCTTATTCAATTAAACATTAATCATTGCCATAGAAGAAAAGAAAAAGAAATATATGTATATGTGTGTGTGTGTGTGTGTGTGTGTGTGTACGTATGTTCATGAATGTGTAGGGCCCCATGTGCCCCGAAGTGGTGTCATAGTAGGACAGCCTGCCCTATCAGGAATGTGCTCAGGCATGAGGGGCAGGGTGCTGCTCCCAGATGTTATGACCCTACTTTTTGTCCTTCGTGTGTCGTGCCTCATTTAAACCTCACTATGATTGTGCTGAGTGGGGCATGTAATAGTGTCCATTTTGCAGATGACAGAGCTGAGTTGTTAGGGCTCCTGGCAGTTGCTATCCATCCATGAAGTCCCTGCTACGTTCCAAACTCAGGCTGTCCACACACGATCTCAGATGCTCGCACAACTGCTGTGTGGGACCATTCTTCATATCTGCTCTACTGTGGGGAAACCGAGGCTCTGTTAAGTTACTTGCCAAAGGGCCACAGCCAGTAAGAATCATGAGAACATTTATAGCTGGGTTTTCTGACTCCAAATCTGGTGACATTTTTTCTTTTGAGTTTTACTGTGAATGCTTCCTTCGTTCAAGGCATATTATTACTAGTCTCTGCAAGACCCTTCTTTTGCTTCTGTTCTCCCTCTTTTCATTCCCATTTTTCTTGCTCCTCTGCAGACATCTGCCCTAGTGAGTTTGCTGCATGCCCTGCATGCGCATCTACTCCTGTCTTGTTCTGATTGGATATCTGTTTGTAATTCAGACAAATGGGATTCTGCCATAGATGTCAGTCTGGTTTCTCTTCTTATTTGACACTCTTTTTTAGAGCAATCTTGGTGCTCTGTGTATACGTGGTTCATAGGAGGGCTTGCATCTACCCTTCGCTTTCCTTAGGTTCTGCCCTGTTGACTTTCGTTGTCCCCTGCTGGTGTACACTAGGTCACCCCAGCCTTGTTCTGTGAGGAGCACTTCACACCTGTCCATGGAGGGACTGTGGGAGAGTTTCTGTGCTATGGACCAGCACTGATATGGATTAGTCATAGCGCACACTCATACTTCACAAGTACTGTCAGATTGTTTTCCAGAATGACTGTACCAATTTACACTTCCACCAGCGGGGCTCAGGGGTTTCTGTTTCTGCCCATCCTTGCCAGCACCTGGTATCAGCAGATGTATCAGAAAGGATGCATTTGATAGCACAACCACAGCAGGCTATTGGATTAGCATCTCTGTGATGCACTTTTCCGCTGCAGACAGCACCTGTCATAATAGCATTTCAAGCAGGAAGAAGTATCATGCAGGAAAATGGGTCCTTTTTGCTGCAACCCTCTATCTCCTATTAGGGAAAAAAAATGTCCTCGGAAATCCCCTGTCGACTTCTTCTTATGTCTCCTTGGCCAGCCTGGCCCGGTGTCCTCCTGGCCCATCCCCAGTAGAGATAACAGGGTCACCATGCCATTTCAGGCTGGGTCCGATTCTTCCCCCTGTCATGTACTTCTTTTGAGCACACTGCTGTGTGACCTGTACCGGAATAGAAGGGGAAATATTTTAATAATGAAGAAGAGAGCCGTGGCTGTTTGGTAACTCAGCAACCAGCAGAGTCCTCCACACCAGATTTCTACTGTTGCCAGTTTTTTGAGCTAATGCTGCCTCTGCTGTAGGAGGGACCTTTCCCCAAATCTGTTTGGTTCGCCATTTGCAGGGAATTTCAGAAGCAGTAATTCAACCCATACGTGTCCATTGCCTTAGGGATTAGGTCTATCCAGCTCAGGTTGGGAACCGTCGTACTTCTTGCCAGACAGATGTCAGATCTGTTTCTGCCGCCACTGCCCTGGCTTAGGTTTCCGTGGGGCTCCCCATGAGAGGTCAACAGAAAGATTCAAAAGGCAGAGCACCAAAACTCCTGCTCTGTGCCATAATTCCTAGGCAGAATGCCAGCTGCTGACTGGTGGGGATGTATACCTGTCGGGGAACAGTACTTTTGCAGGCAGTGACTTCCCCTTCTTATCAGCCACGTGGATGCTGTAGCACCCCATGTCTTCCTGGCTAACCAGAGAAATTCATTTTTAAATGATACCTAACAGTTATAATTTATGGAGCATTTACTCTTTGCCAGGTAGCCTGGTAAGCATTTAATTTTTGTGACCTCACATAAATCTCCCAACAATTCTGTGAGAGCATTGTGCATAATGGTTACAGCACAGGCTGCCGTCAGACCACCCGTAGAATCCCGGTTCTGACATTTATTAGCTGTGTGGCCTTGGGCAAGTAACTTCGCTTTTCTGTGCCTTAGCTTTCTCGTTTGTACACCAAGAATAATAATAGTATGTTACAAGTAGTTGATGAGGTAATAAACATAAAGTGCTTAGAATAACACTTGCTAGACATTAGCTGTTATAATTGCCATTTTTAAAAATGACACCAGGAGGCTCAGAGGTGTCCACTTACCAAATGCTGGACAGCTATGAGAAGCAGGGCCATGATTTGTACCCAAGTTTCTGACTCCAAAGCTAGGCTTTTATCCATCCAGCTAACCATCATTAGTAGCTGCAGTGGCCCAAGGGAACAGTCAATGCCAGCCATGTGTGGGCTGTCGTCCTAGAGAGGTCTGTGCATACACAAGAACATCTGCGAGAGAGTGTGTGTGTGTGTGTGTGATGTTTTCTTTTCTATCGTGAGGGGTGGTTGGGTTTCACACCACACAAGCTCCGTGATTCAGGACAGAATCAGGCGAGAGGAGATGATCCACTGTGCTTGTGAATCTCCTTCCAATTTCTTAGGCCTCCTTTTCCATTTGCTTTTCACCAGCTGCTTCCATCGCCCTCTCTACAGACAGGGCTTGATCCCCAGCATAGGGGACATCTGTGATGATGTGCCATGGACCCAAAAGTGGCCCAGCCCAGTTGGAAGAGAGTGCCAGCACCAAAACCTTGGTTCTGGGAGGTCACTGGGGCTCTGGCCTAGACTTTCCCTTCTGTGGGCAGGAAGCAGGAAAGCTGGATGACAGTCCAGGGCACTGGCCCCCTGGGGAATCTGCTTCCTCCCCCAGAGAAGCTCAAAGACCACTTTCTCTTGATACAGACAGATCACATGATGCAGAATCACACACCTGAGAGGTAGCCCAGGCCAGTGTGGCTCACATCTCCAGGAGCTCTTGTCAGTTTTTCTGTGTGGGCTGAGCTTCTGCACCAATTATAGGCTCCTGGATGATGCCGATGCTGCTGGTCCACACACCAACCCCTCCTGAGCATCAAGAAGGCATCTGGTTCACCTCCCAACCCTCCTCATGCCACACACAGTCCCTCTGTCTCGAGTGCCAAAGGATGGTTCACATATCGACCTGGAGGTGCGGGAATAACAATCTTTTTTTTTCTTCTTTTTTTTTTTTAAGATGAGAAAACTGCTACTCAGAGATGTGAAGTAACGTGGCAGAATCACACAGCTGATAAGTAGCAGAGATGAAAGTCCAGGTGCTGAAGGCAGTCGCAGGTCACTGTCGCCCTCTCCTCGAGCTGATGGATAGACGTGGTCTTCCTACAACGGGACGTGTCCTTGTGTGGGTAATGAGCAGGTTAGATGGCCAGTGTCACCTTCTCTTCTCTTTCCCTTTCTCTGAGATTTTAATTCTGGCTTCTTCTTTTCAGAAGACTGTGATGCACTTGGCTCAGGAGACAACCCCAGCAGTAACCTTCACCCGAAGAGAACTGAATACTTTTTCCCAGAGACAAGAGGGACACATCAAGCAGGAAAAAGGAGCCTAGAAAATCGCCACCATTTCCCCCATCTCTCATTACACAAAATACATTTTACCAGTGATTTGGTCACTGCTGAGCCATCTACTTTTAATGTGGTTTTGACAGAATAGTTGGTCTGGAAATTTTATTTTCAATTAAACTTCCTTGCTGAACTGTCTTGGTTTTGAAAGGATTCCATCAGGGTGGCTAATTATATAGCAGTTGTTACAAGGAGATATTTGCACTCAATTTCAGCTCCTAGGTAATTCACATCAAATGCTTTATATTTTCCTCCCTGGAGCACTGCGAGGCCATCCCCCTCTCACACTGCAGGGTTCCCATGAGTTATTTTTAGAAACCCAAATCAAAACAGCAATTTTGGCAGAGACCATTTCTAGCCTCGCAGAGGAAACCGTATGGACTGATAAAAACAGCTAAAGAGTCACTGCTTTTAAAAAGCAACAAAACCATCTCCGTCTGTGTGTGTAGGTTAAATGTTTGTGAACCACACACTGTTCTTTAGGTACTGTTATATTGAACTTCAACTGTAGTCAAAGACAATGGAAATTCCTTTAAAATGATAAAAGATTTGTCCATTTGCAAACTGTTGTCATGATCATTATGCTTCAAGATGGCAGGCTGTGGCAGAATTTACTGGAGATGCTCTGGTTTGGCCTCCGGATCTCCTGTAAAACATAGAGATCACTTTATTTTCCTGCTGCTCTGTTTTCTTTCACCAGAGCCCTTGTGACATACGTCATTATGCTTACCAAGCAAGTAAACCTCCTCCCCCATGTTAGAACATAAGCTTGGCACATAGTAGGTGCTCAAAGAGTGAATGAATAGACAGATGAATCATTAAAATTCTCTTTATATTTTCTCTTTTTATAAAAAAAATTATAATTACATAAATATTAAGTGAAAGCATTAATTTTAGAAAAACACTTTCCAAATACACCTAAAGTCCTTTTAGCTCACATCTCTCCAATCCTTGCCTCCTCATTATCTCTGCTTAGGTAAAATTTGGTATCATTTTGGAGCGCATCCTTGCATTTCTAATGCATTTATGTACACACACACACACACACACACACACACACACACACACACACACAGAATACTGCTTTGCAGACCTGTGATAAACAGAGTATTTTGCAATTTACCTTTTTTTCAATAAGCAACATATCAAGGAGTGCTTTTCCTGTTAGCCATCTCATTCTTTTTAACTGCTACGTAGTTTTATTACATTGGGTGGATATACCACCTTTTATGTGGACTGAACACGTAAATTCTATATCTGCTTTCCCATTCATTATACTTCCAGATTCCTTTTCATGTGTATGTTGACATACTGACCACATCTACTGCTATCTTTTGGTAGCTACAACACATGTCATCAGAACTAGTCACCTGCCTTGGAGATTATGCCAAACCAGTAGACAGAATTATGTGAAATTCTGAGGATGGCCAGAGGGACTAGAATTCCCTTGTCCTCAGAATCTGGGGAAGTGCACTGAGCCCCGGGAATTCCACAGGACTTGATAGTGAGTGATGTTGGATCTGGTGTCAGCTCTGCCCATAGCCAGCTAGTTAGTTCCCTTGGGCAGGGCACTTCCTCTCCCTGGACCTTATTCTTCCCATCTGCACAGTGGATCAGTGGGCCTCTTTAAGCTCTTAGACTCTGAATAACAGGGCTTACTCAGTGCCACCGGGGCTGACACGAGGAATGTACTGTTAGCTCACCCTCCGCCTCCACTATGTGTTGAGGTGGGAAAAGGCAGTTCCTGATTGAGCTCCAGCCAAGGACTCTTAGCTGAGACAATGTCACCAAGAACCCATGGTCGGGATTGTGTTGCCTTCGGATTTTACTTCTCTTTTTCTGTAACTTTGTCATCCAATTAAAGTGGATAATTTTTCTTTTGCTTTGTTTGTTCTTTTTGTTCTGAGCAAGGCAAGTATGACGATGGGAGAGAGAGATGATGGGCCCCTGAGTTCTGCTTCCTGGTTTGTCTAATTCCAGCTGTGTGTTCTTAGACAGGTCACTTACCTTCTCTGGGCTTCTGTCTATTAACGTCATGATTCCCAATTCACTGAGTATCCACTAAACATTAAAAATTTGAAAACCAGACCCACTTGTATTTCATCTGGCACTTATAAGCCTTGTCACCTGCAGATAGGTGAGTTGATGAAACATCCTAAGAGACCACAAAAACCCATGCAATCTTCCTGCTTCACAGAACAATTGTGCAGCTGTCCATGTGCCAAGCCCTTCAGAGGATTCTGAGGGAGGCCCAGAGAAGGTTCTGAGCTGCCATGATTCATAGGTGGGGTTTTCTCACCTGCACCCTGAGGCTCTGTGGCAAGCCGAGGGCGAAGGGTATTCCCCTACTTTGAGGTTCTGGACCACAAGGGTCACAGGATCTGATTCAGATGCCATTGGGTTTCCCTGAGGGCCCTAGCCAGCCTTTCCTAAATGAGGTGAGAATTGTGGCCCCTTGTCTTGGCATCGCACATTGGTCTGGCAACAACAGCATGGCGCCGCAGGAGAAAGGGCAGCATGAATGGGTGTGAAAGCTGCATGGGATCTGCGTGGGAGCTGTGTGGGAGCCATAGCCCGCAGAGTCTCTGAGGTTTTGGCTTTCCTGGTCCCAGCACTTTGTTTGCGGCCCTACTGTGAGCTTCCGTTCCTCAACACCTCTTTGGTTAAATGTTCCTGGTTGAACACATTTGAACGTGAGAAATGAGACCTGAGTCTATGGGGCTATTGGACCACCAAGCTCGTTGGGGCAGGTGGCTTAATCCCTCCCAGCCTCACTTCCTGCTCTGCTGGGTTTCTTGAGATGAAATGAGACTCTGCAGTAGGTGCTCAGCCCAGGTTTCCTTCCTTCCCCTTTCCCTTTCTTATATGGAAAAAAACCCACATAATTTTACAGGCTCTGAATCTCTATATAAGTGAGCTTCCAAAAGTCCAGCAGGGGTATTTTTCATGTCAACAACAACAACAAAAGGCAGTATAAGCAAGGTATACATGGTAAATAAGTTAAGAAAAAAAAAAAAGAATGGTGGGTCATTTCCATTTACCACCCCTGGCTCACTGCAAATTTCTTAGCGGCTGCCTTCCTTCTTTTACAAAAACGCTTGCAAATCTGGTTTGCGTTGTTGTAGAAGGCAGAGGAAGTCGCATTGTCTCTCCCTGGTTTTGATCCTCCTCCAAGCCATCAACACCGTTTTCATTCACAACCTGGAAACTTTGAAATGAGTCAACCTGACCTATGATTCACAGATACTTGATCTGAAATGCTTGAGATGGAGGCAGAGTCAGAAATAAATACCCCAAAAGTCAGTTTAAGTCAATTAGCACAGGCAGGGAGGGTTTGTAGATGGCTGCTGCCCTTCAGGAGCTGCACTGTGAAGGGGGACTTAGGATGACCAGACACCCAGTGTTGCTGACAGAATTCTGGTTTATACCTATTGCTCCAGCTTCTTGTATGGTTAATGTGCCTTTCCATTCTCAGAAATGTCATAGTTTGGAAGATACAGGGTTCTGGGGTAACTAGCCTGGGAGTTCTTAAAAGCTGGAGATTTTATTTCTATGTGCATCTTCAGTGCCTGGACATGAGTAAGGAATTAGTAAAAAAAAAGAAAAGAAAAAAAGAAAGAAAAGAAAAATGCCTGCTGGGTGGGTGGATGAGTGAGTAGATTCTTAATCTGCTCTTCTCTCTAAATTTCTAGATCCCATTTATCTTTGTATGCTCAAAGCACATCTGTGACTCTACTGTGTTCTCAGTAAGTATCCCTTGAATAAGCCACAGCTTCAGAGGGCAACTGCTCTGGCTGCACATAAACACCTCCATGCCATCAGGCTTTGTGACTGAGAGAGTTACCCCGAGTGAGTCAGAACTTAAAGTACTAAAAACAGTGGCTTCCATGTAGTAAGCTCCTAAGAAAGGGTGGAAGAGGACATGGAGGCGTGCCATTGTTATAGGCTGTCTGGCTGTACTTAGCTAGAGGATTTATAGACCTTTAGACCCATATATATATGTCTGTGTGTATATATATATATATATGTGTGTGTGTGTGTGTGTGTGTGTGTGTGTACATGTGTGTATAATATATATATATATATGTATATGTGTGTATAATATATAATATGTATGAGGATACTTCAAAACGTTTATGAAAACAGAACTAAAAGATAATACAAACTTTTCCATGAACTTTTTGAAGTACTTTGTGTGTGTGTGTGTGTGTGGTCTCATTATATATGTGTGTGTGTGTGTGTGTGTGTATATGTATTTCAGAAGATATATCAATAAATATATACAAATTGGAAAAAGAGAATAAAAAGTTATCCATAATCTCATGACCCTTGGTAAAATAATAGCAATTATCATGTGCTGTAACCCATTTGTGTATTTTATACAGGTTTTTTTATATAAGTCACCTTGAAGTACGTTCCGATTTTTTTCCATTTGCATTTTTCTACAAGCATTGTCCATGTTATTCCATGACCTTTTCAATTACCATTTTGAAATTTGCTTTTATCCATGTAGTTGTTAGTGACTATAGGTTGCTAACA